CCCCCCCCCCCCCCTTTCCTTTTCTATGCAACCAAACAGGGAATTAGTGCTGACAGTTCCACAAGTCTCTCGAGGGTTTCTCTAATTGCTGCTTGGTTTGGTTGTTTTGTCCACAGGCCATTTGTTTCATTGCTCTAGCCTCAATCAGGAGTTGATAATCGGGGTTTTGCTTAGGTTGAAAGCTGGTGTTTATATTAAAAAAGAAGTTCATATTTTGATGAAATGAATGTGGTTGGGAAAGTTGGGAGTCTGATTTCACAAGGTGTTTATTCAGTTGCCACCCCCTTTCACCCCTTTGGTGGTGCTATTGATGTGATCGTTGTTCAACAACAAGACGGTTCATTCCGGAGCACGCCTTGGTATGTTAGGTTTGGCAAATTCCAGGGTGTTCTCAAAGTTGCCGAGAAAATTGTCAAAATATCGGTAAATGGAATCGAAGCCGGTTTCCACATGTATCTTGATAATTCCGGGGAAGCATATTTTATCAGGGAAGTTGATTCTGGGAAAGAGAGTGGATCCAATGGAGTTCTCAAGGGTAACAATGGTAATGGAAATAATCATGAGCCCTATAGGCTTGAACATAGTGTATCTGATTCCGGTGTTGAGCAATTGAGGGAGGGTTTTGAATCTTTGAACCATCTCGAGAGGACAGAATCTGATGGTAACAGAAGGTATTATGACTTCCAAGACGAGCAGTCTCCTCCAATGTCGGAATATGGAAGTGCTCGTTATGAAAACCTAAACGTGGAAAACTATGGAGAATCACAAGGTTCTGATTCTGAAGTGGTTTTGGTAAGTGTCGATGGTCATATTCTAACAGCACCCGTTTCAACAGCTGAGTTGGAGGCTGAGAATTTACGGTTAGATACGCCTCAGTTCCATCTTGCCCCCGGTGATGGGACTGAGTTTTGTGAGGGTAATACAGAATTTGCTTCCTCTGAAACTCCGTGGACTACGACTGATTATATTGGGAAAGTGGAGGCGTCTGATGCTAATGTTGAATTTGATAATGCTTTTGACCCCCGCTTGCCCACCGATAGCGAAAAAGTATCTCATGATTCTGAAAGGGAAGATGTTTTCAGGAGCTGTTTGGAGCTGACAGAACTTGCCCAACATGGTCAAAATCTTAAGTGTGAGGAACTTCCTCCTCCATCTGTTGCAGAAAATGATAAAACTGCAGATGGAGTGATTGTTGAAAGAAGAGATGATTTTGGGTTGCTTCCTGCAAATTGTTCTGATTCTTCTTTTTCTCATATAACAACAGAACATTTGCATGGAGATGAGGAACTTATGATATCCAATGATCCTAATACAGATTCAGAATGTAAGGATGAACAACCAGGTACATCTGCAGCAACTGTCTCCGTGGTTGATTTCGAAGAAGGTGAGATTATGGAGTCAGAGCATCAAGGTTCCGGGAGATTCTCTACTGAGTCAACTGGTAAGGATGATGAACGGTTAATTTCATGTGAAATGACTGGGGAGGATGCTGGCTCTGTAGTTGAACACGGGGAAGAGAAGATTCTAGATTCACCGGCTGCAACATCTGGTGAAGAGACACAACCCCATGCGAGACAGCGTAAAGAAATCTATACTTTTGTAACAATTGCTTCATTTAGAGTGATACTTTTGTAACAATTGGGACTTTTATTTTTTTCAGGATTTGAGATATCACTGTGCAAGGATGAACTTCATCAGGGTATGGGCCTTAGTGCTGCTGCTCGAGTCTTTGATGCACATCGGATATCCCTAGATGAGTATAAGCATTCTGCAGTATCAATTCTTGAAAGCGAAAATCTGGTTGTCAGGATTGGAGATATGTATTTACCATGGAAGAAAGCTTCTCCAATCGTACTCGGAAAAGCTGTGTTTGATTTAGATATCGAAATTCAGCCAGATGATGTGATTTCTGTAGAGGAAATTGAACTGACAAAATCCAAAGATGGCGAAAGTACCAACGCTTCTTCTTCTTCTTCCGGTAGAAGATGGAGACTCTGGCCCATTCCTTTTAGAAGGGTTAAAACAATTGAGCATACCGACAGTAATTCCTCTAGTGAAGAGTTGTTTGTTGATTCTGAGCCCGACATATCAGCTTCAGACAGTCACCATGAGTCACCGCGCAAACAACTTGTCAGAACTAATGTTCCTACCAGTGAACAGATTGCATCTCTGAATCTGAAGGATGGCCAGAACATGATAACTTTTAGTTTCTCTACCAGAGTTCTCGGAACACAACAGGTTGTCCCCATTAAAATTAGGCATTTTGAAGGCACATTGACATGAAATGCTTCTAACTTTGTTTGTTAAATATATGTTCTTATTAACAGGTTGATGCACATATTTACTTGTGGAAATGGGATGCCAAGATTGTGATTTCGGATGTCGATGGAACTATAACTAAGTACAGCTTTAGATCGATACATTTTAATTGAATTATTATATGATTCGGTGCTGAAATTGTTAGGAGCCTGTCATTTCTTGATAGAAAGGGGTCTAACACGAGTGCCCTTTTATTGATTGTGTTTCCACAGGTCTGATGTGTTAGGTCAGTTCATGCCTTTAGTTGGAAAAGATTGGACACAATCCGGTGTGGCCAAGCTTTTCTCAGCGATAAAGGTATTATTACTCAATGCTTCTACCATCATTTGAACTAAAATTTTCTCTCACCTTATACTGGGTATGGTAGAGACGTTTGTCTAAGCGGTTGTACTCTGTATCGGGGAGGTGAGAATGTTTGATTCATCTGTATGTCTACTTGTTTTCAGCTTAAATAGAGTGGACCTATTTGGAAATTAGAGTCTTGGAGCTGTTTCCTTACAGGCACGAAATGGTTTTTTGATCCATTTTGTTTGTCCTGATCATGTCTGTGTGAAATGCCCTTGATGTTCCAGGAGAACGGGTACCAGCTGCTGTTTCTGAGCGCACGTGCCATTGTTCAGGCATATCTAACGAGAAGCTTCTTAGTCAATCTGAAGCAGGTAATAAATAACATCGTCCATGTCTTTTTCCCCGTGGTTCTGGTCACATGTCAGAATCTCTCTCTCCACTGAACTGTAGGGTCTGGTCTTAAAATAGAACTGGGGGTTTTCTGACTTTGCAGGACGGAAAAGCTCTTCCAAACGGCCCTGTAGTCATCTCACCCGATGGGTTATTCCCAGCGTTGTACCGTGAAGGTGGAGAGATTCAAGATTGTATATCTTGCTCTACGTTTTTGAAGTTTAACATCGTTCATTTCTCATCTGATTTCACTATTTTACAGTTATTAGAAGAGCCCCTCACGAATTCAAGATTGCATGTTTGGAGGTAAAATTTTAAAAAAAACTCTGAGAATTGCTTATATATACACATACATATATATATATATATGTATGTATATGTATTTGAGATTGAGAAACCGCTTTTTTAAACATGTATGAGTACAGGACATCAGGAAACTGTTCCCGACAGATTACAACCCGTTCTATGCTGGATTCGGAAACAGAGACACAGACGAGCTGAGTTACAGGAAACTGGGAATCCCAAAGGGCAAGGTCTTCATAATTAACCCCAAGGTCCTGACAACAGACTACTGTCTTCTGGGTTTTGTTCCTAGTCTCTAGGAAGACATTGACAACTTTTTTTTCCTATACAAATTTCGTGGAAAAGTAATTCATACGACCGATCCCAAATAAACGACTAAGGCGTTGTTGTGTTGGTTTTGTGCTAAATATTTTTCGGGTGGTGAAACATGTTATATATGGACAGGGAGAGGTAGCAACGGGCCATCGCATAGATGTAAAGTCCTACACTTCGCTTCACACGCTTGTCAACGACATGTTCCCTCCTACTTCACTCGTTGAGCAGGTTTCACATCATTGCTATGTTTCTCCTCTGTTTCTCTCTTTTATATATATATATAGAAAAAAGTTCTAGCATTCAAAACCTTGGAATGGATTTCAGGAAGATTATAACTCATGGAACTTCTGGAAAACGCCATTAGAAGAGGTGGATTGAACTGAAGATCTATCTTGTCCTCCGATACAATGCCTTTGTGCCTCGCGACAAGTGTTTTCCGCTTTTTAAACAGAGCAGATGACCGTTCTCCGAGCTGAAATTTCTCGGCGGATCTATCGTTAACTGATTCTGATTCATCCGCTGAATCTTTTGTAAGCTTTTCTCATCTTTTGTACACCAAAGCTAGAGACTTGTCTACTCATTACACTACATAAAAGGAAAGGGAAAGGTGTAGAACAGAAATCCCATTTCACCACAATATTGTACAAGACACGGAATTGTACCGTTTTCTTTTACGTTATACAGAGAAATCCAAAACAGGAGAGGACCTCGTTTACAACTCTATGGGTTTTGTTATAATAATGTTTCTGTCGGAAAACAGCTTTAACATCGCATTCCCTAAGCAAAACCAAAACTCGGTCTTTAATGGCAAACGTACATATCTCCATGATATTGATGAAGAAGAAATACGTGGAGATCTGATAAAGCAAAATAAAATGATAAATACTACTCTTACATATTTTAATTTTGGAGATATCGCCAAAAAAATCATATACTCTTTTCACATCAATAAAAAATTCTATTTTTTTCTTACCGATTAAACCTATACTCAGTGTGATTAACCTATAACTCCGAATTTTTAAAAATTCGCCGAAAACCTCCTGTTTGTACCAACTCAAACAAAAATGGTGATGTGTCAATGAACTGACTTCCAAATCATGCACGCATCATCATAATTATGTCACATCATCATTTCAAACAAAATTTAAATTAAATAATTTATTTAAATTAATATACATATATACAAATTCACACATATATATATATTAGTGGCGAGATTCGTCGTTACTCCTCTTCGATTCATCCGAGCGGCGTGGATTTTCTCGGACTTTCCCCTCGAAGTTTCTAACCTGTAAGTTTTTTTTTGTTCCTGCGATATCTGGGTTTTACGCCATTTGGAATGTCGGATCCTAGTTTAATCGTGGGATATATATATATATATATATATATATATATATATATATATGAATTTATATGTATATATTTTAATTAAATAAATTATTTAATTTAAATTTTGTTTGAAATGATTATTGCATGATTTGCAAGTGGTATCATTGCCACATCATTATTTTTATTTGAGTTGGCAGATCAGAGAGTTTTCGGTGAATTTTTAAAAAATTCGGGATTTTATGGATTAATCACAACAAGTATATAGTTTAGTTAGTAAGTAAAAAAATATGAAATTTTTTCATTGACATATGAAGAGTACATGGTTTTTTCTAGCGATTCTCTTTTTAATTTTCTCTCTGTATTTTCTCTAAAGATAGATTAAATTGAATCTGTTCTTTAACATTTTATATCTTATTATAATTTTACATCAAATGGATATTTGATTATTTACTACGACATGTGAGTTCGGCAGAATTTTTATCCTGTCTTTTTTTACTATTATATGAATATTACCGTCCAATACAACTAATATATTTGAACCAAAATTGATTCCGTATTATATTTTACGTCATACACATTCACAACATATTAAAATTTCTATAAACATTAATAACAGTAATAATATAGGAGCGAAAAAAACAGAATTATGAAATCAAATTAATTTAGTGCGAGAAAAAAAAAACAAAGAAACCAGACATCGTCGGAGTCGGTGGACACAATATAATGGTTATGCTGCTACAACATAATATTTTATTACGTTATTTTGAAAGAAAAAGTATTGAACTGAAAACTTTCACATTCACAAAAAAAAAAAACAAATTCGCGAATAATATTGAAAAATTAAATTTAGACTTCAAATCTTCCACTTTGGAAAAAAAATAAGAAATCAAATAAATTAAATGCATTTCTTATGGTTTACGTCTCGAAAATTCGAGATATTCGATCCATGTACCTTTCACGCGCGGTATCTCAGGATCGAGGAAAATGGCACAAAATCGCGGACTATAACCCAGGGATTTTAGGGCGGTGACGTTCACGCGCTGTAGGTGCGCGTGGTAAGTGTTTTGAATACGATTTTTATCACCAGTTAAATTTGGTGGGCTTTGCGATGAAAACAAATTGGGCTTTTATTTTTTGCTTTAAATGGGCTTTTATAGGCCCATTAGTAGCCCATTATCTTATTAGCATCATTAACTTGGCTTTTGCAACCAAGATTTAGTTTTTAAACCTAGTCTGTTTTAATAATATGCATATATACCTTTGTCTAGTTTTAAATTTATTTTTTACAAGAATTCTTCAAACTTCAACTCATGTATATACATAAATCATAATTCATCAGCTTTTATCAATGCTCTGTTGATTTACTATTCCTTTTTTTTTCCCTTTTGTATCAAGTTTTAAGAAATTTTAAAAATATTCAAAGTATAAAATATATTACTTGTTATGATATTTACATCAGCTATTTGATTTTATAATAAGATCGTAACAAAATATGCTCTAGTGAGTTTTAAAAAACTATAACTATATCCACCATTTAACATTAGTATAAATATGTTATTGACAATAAAAAAATAAAAAATAATTGTTATGAAGAATATATAATATACATTTTAAAAAACTAAAGTTTAAAAGGTAGAACAAAATTAGTTTTTTTGTATATATAAATCATATACAATCAGCAAAAAAAATCTGCATTTTTCTTTACCCTTTTATATGCCATACAACTATTTTTGCCACTCGAAGGTCCCTTTGAGAGGGGGTTTTATCAAAAATACCCCTATTATACTACAAAGACTTTAGTGCCTACCCCTGCAAAAAGAAGAAAAAAAAATGGCTTCAGAAAATACACTTATAATTATGTTATTCTCATAATACCCATTGACGTGGGCCCCCAATTGCAGAAACATTAATGAGAAGAGAGAGAGAACAACAGTTTTTGATTTCAAAGGAAAAAATTTAAATATTTTAAAAATTTTAAAATTCCCTCCATCACAAAAATATAAAATTTTTCGCGTGAATTTTAAAAATTTTCGATGTAACCAGTGTGACCAGTGTGACCAGTGTGACCAGTGTGACTAGTGTGACCAAAACTAAATTTTGAACGGTGTGATCAGTGTGACCAGTGGGACCAATGTGACCTGTATGACCAGTGCGACCAAAATTAAATTTTAAACGGTGTAACCAATGTGACGTACCTTTGTTTTCGTTATCAATCCGTTCCATTATGCGCCTCTTGCATATTCTTCGACAGATTTGTTATGCATCTGTCTCATTTTCATCAAAAACCACACGATTCACTTTAAAAATCATAAAACTCAAACTCAAAACACAAAGTTTATGTATCGAACCAATCTCTTGTATTAATGAACTTACCTTCAGTTTTTGTCATTTGTCCTGGCTTAGACCGACACACGAAGAAAAAGATATAAGGTCGGCGGTGAAGATACGTTCAACGAAATAATCATTTTTCGTTTGTTTTTCTGTGTAAAAATGAAATGAGAAAGAAGAAAATGGAAGAGTTGAGAGAAAAATAACAATAGAGAGAGAAAGTTAAGAAAGAAATTGAGAGTTATCAAAGTGTGAGAACGAGAGAGATGAATTCAAAATGACTAAGTAAGTGGGAGAAGTGTATCACGTTACTTTTTTGAAAGGTTAATTACGTCTTTTGTTCTTTTTATTTTTTTCTTCAAAATTTTAGGGTTTTGAAGGGTATGTCATGAAGTCTTTATAGCAAAGTGGGGGTATTTTTTCTATATTGCCCTTTGAGAGGTCTTCCTCTTCCTCTACCACTACCTCTATCTCTCCCACCTTTTTTTTCACTTTTCTGTTTTTCTTGCATTACAAGCAAGAATTTTTCCACGACACAGATATCCGAAACTTGAATTTTTTGGGAATGTCATAATGATTTCAAATAGTTTAAATCAGATCTACCTCTGATTTAGTCTCTGATGGATTTCCACGGTGATGGTACCAAGATCTTTTTATTTTTCTCTTTCTTTCTCTTTCCAGAATTTTGGATTTCACGATATAGTAAGTCATTATTCTCAAATTTCGGTCATTGTTGTTCCGATGGCTGTGATCACCATATTTCAGGAATATAACAATCATAACCCAAAAATATAACCCGAATGTAATAATAATTGGCTTGGATTGGGTTGGATTAACCCATCTAAACCAACCCAATTTGATATCTATAATAAAAAATTTAAAGACTTTACCGAACTTAAAGTCCCGAACCGAAAACAGAAATGCCCTCAGATTTTGTCTATCCTCTTACAAAGATGATCTGCATAAACACGACATCTAACGAAATGAAGAGAGCAATAACATTGAATATGAAGAATATCTTTGAACCGAATGGGTATATAATTTAGTAAGTTTTTTGAATTTTACATTTATATTAACCGACTAGTCATAACTCCTCAACCATTTTTTTTAAACAATTCAAAAAATAGATGGGAGTAAACCCACGCGAAAAAAAAACAATTAAAAAATAAATGCATTCGTTTCCCTTAAAATCTTCTGCACGACCGAGAACGTCGATTAGGGGAAGTAGACGAAGCGTAGGAGACAGATATAGACGACAACGTGGGATGTGTATTCTCTAAAATACCCTTCCCAAAGAACAAACCCGACAAATAGTTCTCTACATCGTCAGGGGTAAATCTGACAACCAACGCCAACTTCATCCCCGCTTCGTTTCCCGCCATCACAACGGTGTTCCGATGCGTGTAGTAAAACTCGCGATATATCGGCACCAGCTTTCTCGCGATCGACATTTTCATCTCGTCTCGGAGATTGGGATCCGGTACGACGCATGCACTCTCCTTCTTGTACGCGCTCTCGAAACTCGCAGCGAACGTCTCGAAGCACTCCATCACCGATTCCGGCGAGGAAGGATTTTTCGTCAAGGCGGAGGCGACGGAGCCCCAGGCGAGTCGCTCGTAGCTCGCCGCGAACTGCCTCGCCTTATCGAAGTGCCTTGCGATCCAGTCATCGCCGAGGAGGTTTCTCATGCTCCAAGAGCCGTGAACGCACGAGACCACGTGTTGGAGATTGTTCGCGAGGAAGAGATACTGCACGGAGAAGTCCTTGTACGACTCGGATTTTGCGTCGATTTTGCAGAGGAGCACGAGGATGAGCCATGCGAATCGGATTCTTATCTCTGACGCCGGAGATCCGTCGGATTCCGAGACGTTGAAGTAACTTTCCGGCAACAACGATTTCTCCAGCGGTGGTGATCGCATGAGGATATCGGCAAGGACGTCGCAGTGATCGGCGAGGAGAGAGAGGTAATTCATGGCGAGGACTGTCAGAGGATGAACTCCTCCAGCGCGAACCACCGTCTTCGACGTGTCCTTTTGGATTCCGTTCTCGAAATCCGCCATGAGAGAGCGAATCATCTCGCTGAGCTGGTTTAGTGAATTGGAAGCTCGAGATATGACTGCAGAGCTCGAAGACAAGGAGAAGATCGATCGGATTGCGTGCGAGTTTTCGTCGATTCCTCTGTACATTTCCAGCAACCGGAAAATTTTCTCTGGCGGCGGATTTTTCTTGTCCTTTGCAGCTACCATTTCCGGGAATCCAAACAGGAGAAGCGCTCCGTCATTGGAGATGTTGCTGAAACACGACTCTCTGATGGCATCGGATGATAAGAAGATGTGATCGCACAGAACCCTCTCGCCATTGAAGAGCGTTGTCATGGAAACCTTCAGAGCCTCTAACCAGGTTTGAGTCTTCAACTCAACAACCTCCCATGACATCTTCTTCGCCGTCGACGGGCTGATTTTCTCGATTCCGAGACGGTACATCGCTTCGTCGATGATCGATTTCCTCAAGGTTTTGTACATACTCCCACACTCCTTGGCGTAACCTGCGGCGAGCATGCAATCAGCGATGGATTTCAAATCAGCCATGGCGTTTATCGACACTTCCTCCATTTCGGTGATGGAATCACTGGCGCGATGACGTGCACCACCACCATCTTCGTCGGAAGAATGATCTGAGGTACCAAATTCGTCGGAGGATCGACTGGAGACGGGTTCGGGATCGAGATGCGCACGATTCATCGATAGGATCTGGTAAAACTCCTTTCGCAGCCTCTTCATCGCGATCTTCATCAGATTCTGCGCTCTCTGAGACTGCTCTGCATTCGCATCCTCCAAAATCAACAGATCCATCGCCTTCTGCAAATCCTTAACTCGTCTGACGAACTCCCTCGCTTCTCGCTTGCTCTCGTTGAACAGAGAATAGAAGTTCGACGATGTCGAGTACTCCGTGCTCCATTTCTCGATGATCTCCGCAGCAGATTCTATGGTTGCATCGATCAACGGAGACACAATTCTCCGCCCAGGTGCCGACAGAGAAAGAGAAGCCTTCTTCGACGAACCTTTGTAGAACAAACTCAAGCTTCGCATCTTCTTCCTATTCCGAGAAGAAAAAAAACTGTCGATGCACAGATTTTGTTTTTTCCAATTTCATCTACATTGAAACAAACACAAAACAAGATCGCCTCCTGAAGGATTCGAATCGCAGGGGTTCCCCAACAAAACGGGGAAACCACCTCTGAAGAACCCTAAACACAGGGGCGCGAAATTGCAGAGAAACGTGAGTAACGTGTTCTTCGAGGACTTTTTTTTTTATAGTGTAGCGACATAACGGCCGTATTTACCTGGGGAAGACAAATGTGAGGACGGGACCTTTGACTCGATTGATCCTGTCCATACACGTGTCGCCCATTGGACAATTATAGGGGAAAAAAAGAAAATGAGATGAGAAGTAGAACTATTTTCAGAAAACTCCAATTTCTTCTATAATTACAGTTGTTTTTTCAATCGCATTTGATTCGTATTTCATGAGGAAGAAAAAAAATAGGAAGTATAGACTCTCAATTACAAAATCCTAGAATACTTATCCACACCAACAATAGTCCAAAATTTTAAAATACTCAAATTTAAATTTTAATATAAATAGAAAAATCATTATAAAATATTGTAAAAAAATATGAGATATCTAAATTTTATCTGAATAAAAATCTATTTTCTTCATTTTTAAACAACACAATCGCAACGGCCGATAAGATATAGAGGTTATGCAGCAGCTTCGCGTGACCAATCCTCAATGTCCTGTGGAAGACATGGAGACATGGGCTTATTCCTCAGATGGAATATTCTCCAATATACATGACCTTTTTCATAATTGAAAATAAAATCTATGTTCTACATGACCTTTTTCATAATTGAAAATAAAGTAATTTTTATAAATTCTACTTATAAAACTGAAAAAAATATGTATAACATTTTGGTAATAAATATAAAAATAATTAACATCTGAGTAAAAAATTTGGATAACTGCGTATCTATAAATATGGTACAATATCTAACGAGTAACATATATTTGTTATCCAAATCCAATACCCAGTTATTCATCAATCTGAACATTTTAAGAATATATTTTAATTATATTTGAAATTTCCGGTAATTTTGCCGCTCTATGGTGGATTTAAGCATTTTACATATATTTTTGTTTATAAAAGTATAAACATATGATTTTTCACTCGCCTTACGATCTCGAGAGCCGTCCGCGAGACGATGGAGAAGTAGAGGAAGATGACGACGGCGATGGCAAAACACGTTCATTCCCAAAACTACCCTTCTCGATGAACAAGGCCGAGATGTAATTTCCTATATCCTCAGGGGTAAATCGGACAACCAACCTCACGTTCATCGCGCCGTTTTCACCTCCCGCCAAGGCAACTGTACTTCTATGCGTATAGTAAAACTCCCGATATATTGTCACCAACTTTCTCGCGACCGACGTCTTCATCTCATCCCGGATCTTCGGATCTGGTACGACGCACGCGCTCTGTTTTCCGTACGCGCTCTCGAAGCTCGCGTTGAAAGCCTCGAACAGGTCCTTTACTTCCTCCGGCGACATCGCCGCCGCAATAGAATTCTCCGGCAAGGAGGACGCGACGGGACCCCACGCGAGACGCTCATAGCTCGCTGCGAACTGCCTAACCTTGGCGAAGTGTCTCACGACCCAGTCCTCGCCGAGGAGGTGCTTGAGGTTCGAGGATCCAGCGCGTGAGACCACATGCTGGAGATTGTTGGCTAAGAATATGTACGTTAGGGACAAGTCCTTGTAGTGCTTTGCTTTGTGGTCGATTCTGCAGAGGAGGACGAGGATGAGCCAAGCGACTCGGATCGTCAGCTCCGTCGCTGGAGAGTCGTCGGATTCAACCACGTCGAAGTATGATTCCGGCAGCAATGATTTTTCCGGTGGTGGAGATCCGGCGAGGATATCTGCGAGTACGGTGTTGTAATCGGAGAGGAGAGAGAGGTGATGGAGACGGAGACGGCGGTTGTTGACGACGGCAAAACTCCGGCAATTCGAGCGATTCCAGATAAGTACCTGAAATTAAAAAATTATTTTGTCGAGGCCTGTGAAACACAGTTTCCTTAAGTTCGATTTCCGTGCCACCTCTAAAGCTTCGAGGCTATTGGAGCACGGTGAACTCCCAGGATACAACGACCGCGTATTTGGAAGAAGCTTTCCAAATACCAAGCGAACTCAGAGAGAGATATGAGCAAATATGTGAATGCTCTTTTTCTCTAGAATGCTTGTTTCTTTTCTGTGTGTTTTATGAGCTAACCCAAGACCCCTATTTATAGTAGAGGGGAGAATCTCAAAACAAATCAATTTGAATTTCAAAATTCAAATTTGATTTTATCTTGATATTATCTCAATCTTATCTTAATCATATTTGATAGATTTTCTGCGGATTTGAATCCAATTTCAAATTCAAATAAGAATATTCTCTTCTGCAGATTTAAATTTATACGGACCGGGCTTCTCACGGACTAGACCCGTTTTGATTCTATCAAAACAAACCCAAATCCAACAATCCCCCACAAGAATCAAAATAGGGCCTTGAGTTAGGTGAACCTAAATGCATCTCATGCAACTAATGCAAATGATGTGCAATGCAAAATTTGCTCATCGAGAGTTTACTGTATCCGAAAAGGTAGTTTTACCTTTGAACCTTCCGTAGTGAAATACTATCGGATGTACTTGCTAAACAGTGAACGCGATGTCTTGAACTATTCAGCTTTTGTATACACCAAGACAATAGTACTCACGCAGCACCCTCTCTCTCTCTCGTTAGTCCATTTGTTGCGCCCATTATGGCCCTGGGACAGCACCTGGTAAATTTCATCAAGTACTCTAGAGAATTAGCCCTTTTGTCATTCTCATAGAAGCGGCCCACTTCATACTTGATATAGGAGATTTCTCTTTGAGAGTATCTCAATATACTCCACTCTCGTAGGAGATAAGAGAATCTTTAAGAGTATAAACTCAACCTTCCCAATTTGTATCACTCTTATCATAGGAATGTGAAGAGATATCAGTCTCAAGTGATCCCATCGACCCCCCCACAATTATACCGGCAGTTTGTCCAGATAGGTTGGGTTGCCATCATGGTGGTTTGTCATTCTATGGGCTTTAATCCCATTCCCCTCGATAATATTTCTACCTGATCTCTGTTAAGGCCTTTGGTCAGAGGATCAGCCAAATTATCTTTTGATCTCACAAAATCAATAGATATGACACCATCTGTTAGTAATTTTCTAA